TGGCTTGCTTTCTTAAAGTAGCTAAGGTATATAACATTCACTTGAAGTTCAGCTCAAAAGAATCTAATACTCCCACCACCTTTTCTTCTTCACCACTTGCTGATGTATGACGCCTTACAGCAGTATGTATACCTCAGCATGGACTCTGATTCATTAGAGTTGAAGAACCTGTATGAGAAGCTATGCACCATTTCTATATTTAACTGATTAGTGGTGGAAACTTGAGAGTCGCACGATTCCATTGATGGAGCAAAAAGTTCGTCAGCCAGTGCTTTTCCATCAGAGAAATTACCATGCGAAGTTCTGATGTCCTCACCCTTTCTTCAATCAGCAGTGTGTTAGCCACATATTTTAGCTGTAGCAATCGCTCGCTAAATTATGAATTGTTGAATATCTGAATTTTTTACGCACAATTTTCTTTATCTGATTTTGCCTTGATATATGATTAGTGGAAAAACCCAAAACTCTTTCAGATGCATTGCTTAAAATTACGCTGGTTACTTATGTTGCATCTCCGTTACGCAAGTTATCTAGTTTTGAAGTTTTCTGAAACTAACAATCTATTGAAAATGCAGGTTAAGAAAGAGATTGAGCAATGCTATGAATTAATACACAGGCTTGGTCGCGGTGTTGTGTATTTAGGATCTTCAAGGATGGGTCCTGGACATCTACACTACATAAAAACCTTTGAATTAGGGAACAAGGTTAGTCAACTTTCTCAAAGTTTAGGTGAAGTAATAGAAAAAGAAAGATGAAGTAGCTTGTATAAAAAAGTACTCCCTCCGTTTCAATTTTCTCTGATTTTGACTTACATGGAGTTTTAAGAAAGTAAACTAAAGATATGTAGAATGTACCATGTCCTTTAATCTTGTGGTTTTAAACATGCCTGGTGGAAAGGGTGAATTAAAGAGTTACCAAAAAGGAAAAGAGACATTCTTTTTTAGACAGTCTAAAAAGGAATGTCAGACAAACAAATTGAAACGGAGGAAATATTACTAATCGGAGAAGAATCTGTGACTATTATTTTCTAAATACTACTTGTTCGGTAGATTGCAACCCTCTTAGATTGTACGACGTGGTCCGGGGCTGGGCCAGGCTTAATGGATGCTGCCACTCAAGGTGCTCTACAAGCAGGGAAGTCCGTTGGCGGGTTCAAGATAGGTAAAGAAGCAGGGGAATGGACGGCTACAAATTTTCATCCATACTTACCATCAGAGAGTTATCTTACATGCAGGTAAGCATAACATCAAATGCATGGTTTTTCTTATGTTCTTAGGGGCTGTTTGGTTGTAAGCTGGTAACCAAGCACCATACTTTGTGTGCCAAATTTTATACATAACAATTAAAATGCTACCAAACATGTCACACGAATAATTCACTTCGTGACCAACAATCAAAGGGAGTCCCCCCTTATAGCTTCTTGAGTTCATAGACTGTTTTGTACTCAGGTTTTTCTCCGCAAGGAAACACGGGTTGGTGGATGCTGTTGTGCGATGCAGAAGCTCTGAAAGGACAGCTGTTGTCGTACTTCCTGGAGGAATTGGTACCCTCGACGAGGTTTTTGAGATCATGGCTTTGATTCAACTCGAGCGAATTGGCTCTCAACTTCCTGTTCCTTTGCTTCTAATGAACTATGATTCATTTTATACCAATTTGTTGGAGTTCCTTAATGATTGTGAGAAGTGGGGAACTGTCTCTAAAGGTGAAGTTGAGTCATTGTGGAAAATTTGTAACAATAACTCAGAAGCTTTGGATTATTTGGCTGAATTTTATGGTCTTTCTACTATAGAAACCAATAGAAAAGATTCTGAATCATCAGAACATTTAAGAATTAACCATGGTTAATTCATATGTATTGTGACTTTAATCTTTAATTGATAAAGTTAAATTGTTTGGTTCAGTGTAACCATGGTTAATTCATATGTATTGTGACTTTAATTTTTAGTTCGATTATCGTATTATTTAGTTGTAGTTATTGTTCAGAATGTTTGTTATTCTCTTTTTGGATTGTTTTGCTTGAGCGGAAGGTCTACCGGAAATAACCTCTCTATATATGAGGTAGGGATGGTCTACGTACACTCTATCCTTCCTAAACTTCACTTTGTATGTTATTTGTATACATGGTGTTTGAGAAGAATTTAGAGTATTTTCAAGAGTTTGAGAAGAGTTACCGTATAAATATCAAGGTCATTTTGGTCTTTTAAGGATAATATCGAAGTATATTGGACTATATAGCTAAATACAAGTATAAAGTATTCCAAATCATATCCAAATTTCACATATATAAGGTAATGATGCGATCAAATCATTCGTTACGTAATAAGATATTTCGTTAATAAAGTTAATACGATACAATCAAAATGAACATTGTATTTACGATCTTCAACTGTGTAATCACATCAAACAACAAGAGGAGACACCTTCATCTGCGATCGCCGCGGTCAAAACTCGACCGCGGCGACGTTCCCGTGCCTCTGCCGCCACGGTGCATTCATATTTAGAATCATAATCTAAAAATTGAAATTTTTTCTTGGATCGTCGATTTAATTGAGGATTATTAATATCTCCATAATGAAGAAATCTACCATCTAATTGTCCTCCATAATATCCTAATTGGCCTCCATTATATCCTAATTGTCTTCCATAATCAGATTGATTAACAAAAAGATTAGTTGAACATTCACCAAATTGAAACCAACATAATTCTGCTTTTTTTCCTGCTTTTGATAGCCTTTTTAGAAGTAATTTTGGATCCACATTTCCAGAAACTTCAATCATCCCATTTCCATTCATTCTAAAATTTGTGATACCTAAAACAAATTAAACAAAAAAAAAACAATATCAAATAGAGACAAATTCAGAATTTAAATTCAACTGTGCAATCCTCAAGTTGTTACTCATCTACGATTCAGAGTACGAGAGTCAAACTATCTAATTTTGTTTCGAGAATCCAAACACAACATCTTTAAGTTTTTTGAAATAAAATTTTAAATATTTAAGAACACCCATAAAATGTACTATAACTCACGATTCAAACTGAAGGTTAATTTTAACTTGATGACATAAAAAAATATACAATATTAATGAAAAAAAAATATCCAAAAAGTATGCTATTCTAAATCACATATATTAACATAGAAAAAATAATAATAATAAAAGTGTAAATGTATATACCGTAAACATTTTTGAAGACTTTGGACACAGTTTTTTGCCATCCTGAAGTGCGATTGTTCACCCACAAAATGCAAGTCTGTTTTAAAAATAAAAATAAAAATTGAGAGAGTAAAAAAAAAGAAGTATAATACATACATAATTAAATAAAAGAAAATGAACTTAAAATTTAGATAAAAATAACACAAATATAGTTTTTGTGTGTGAACATACCAACAACAACAAAAAATACAATGTAGTCTCATACGTAGGCTCTGAGAAAGTTAGGATGTGTACAGACCTCATTCCTATCTTTGTGAGGATAGAAAGATTGTTTTCATTTCGACCTTAACATAGAAATGTAAATGAAACAAAAAAAATGAACGATCGTCAAAATAGAAAGATAAACAAACGTACCATGAATGGATAGTTTTGCATCATGAATTGATGTTCCAATGTAGAGAAGGACATTGTATTCATGTAAAATTTTGAAATGATGAATTATTATTTACTGTAAAACAATTAAAGAATATTGGAAGATATTTATAAGACAATTGAATTATCAATTATCATTCTTTATATGGAAACAAGATCCTCTTTATCCACAATAACTATAAGATTTCCAAGATTTCGTATAACATTTTGGTGTGGGAGTATAAAATCATTGGATATTTAAAATTTACTAGCCAATTAATTACTAATATTCATGCCTCGTAAATTCATTAAAAGAAATTAAACTCATCATCATGCCAAGAAATTAATCATTCTAAAGATTCGAACCTGATCATGTTACTTCTTAAATAGGTAATAATACTCACACTATGCGTCCATGCCATGCATGTGTATTTCGTATACACATTTTTCACTAAATTATGATTAAATAATATGTACTACGTAAAAATATATTTTTAAAACAGTTTTTACCCTATGATAGAATGAAAATCTCCAAAGATAAACTAAATTGCTCTTGTAGCTATTTTTGGGCTAATTTTTCCTCCCATTTCTTTTTGTGTTATACTATGGATTATTTTATTTCCATTTTAGTAGTGAGATAACTAATCTTCCTCAAAAGGAAAAAGATTTGCGTCATTTATTCATTATTGATAAAAAGAAATCATCGTTTAAGAAAATAAAAACATATCCAGAAGAATCTTCATATTAAAGAATTGGATTTGTAATTTATAATATCAAATTTTAAAAAATAAAATAAAATCTCCTCACTCTTAATATTTTGCAAAAGGATTTATTTTTTTATAATATTAACAACTTATTTTTTTTTACTCTATAGGTATAGTATAACACATGATAATACTATCTAAAAGTTTTTTTCTCCATATAATTAGCACGTGAACCAAACGATTAAAATTGAGATTATAAGGGAAACGAAAACGAAAAAGAAAAATTCTACGATTAGTTATATTTAAATCCTCACATATATAATGGTGATTTTTTTTTATACGAAACAATTGACGTGTGATGTATCATATATGTTTTGCATATAGACTTTTAGAACAAATAAATTTAACCCAACGATAAAAATAATTCTAGTGATGAATAAGTTCACATTTACAACAAATAAATACTATTAAACTACAAATATTAACAAGATTACTGTAATATAACTAATTAGAAGTATTGATAAAGAACAATATAAGTTATAATAAAATAATTAATTAAAAATTTCGAGTTTAAATTACAAGAGGAAAAACTCAAATTGGAAGCGCGGCCCTAAAAAGTGGGGCTTTGCAACACATAAGTTCCAATACAATCGAGCTCTTAATATAATCAAGCTCTCAATGCAGATACTGAATAAATGAATTTAATTTGAGTCTAGTTACATAGTATTGCAATTACTTATATGCCCTTCTGTAGAATCAGACTAATAAAACACCGGCGGCGGCGCGGCCATGGGATAAGGTGGGTAGGGTGGCGGAGGCGGCGGAGGTAGGCCGTAGTATCCGCCGTGCTGGGGCAGAGCAAACCTGGAGTGATTGAAATTACGAAACGGTCCTTGATTTGAGAATCCATTAATTGGGGGTTTTGGAGGTTGTGGAGGAAGAAACAAATTGCTTGAACATTGACCATATTGAATCCATTCTAATTCTGCAGATTTGCCAGATTTAGCTAAATTTTTCATTAACAGAATTGGATCTACAATCCCTGATACTGTTACTTTTCCACCTTCTGACAATTTGAATTGACGAACTCCTGCATTTAACAATAACGTATTCAGTATAATTTTATCAATAGTGATGTCTGACAAGGATAACCAATACGGAGTACTGATAAGGAGAAGTTGAGAGTGAGGTAGTCTCGGCCTCTCTTACAACACTTGATTTCTTACTAACACTAGTTTTACTCTAATTCTCGACTTTTATATTTAGTCATTATTTTCTATAAGTTGAAGTTGTGTGATGTCCAGCTTAATCACCTTTCGTTCAACCTCTCCACTTCTTTATTGGCTCTTTCCCTCATTTTATCTATCATGAAAGTCATATTTTATTTTCACATGTCTATACGTTAATCTCGTTAATGAAGGCGAGTCTCACCTGTTTGCATATAGTTTTTTTTTAATTAATATGCTCATACATATATCTAAGCATTTTTCATCTCAAATATAATTGAAGTGAAATTTGATAATCTTAAAAATAAAATAAATTCGTTTTAAAACATTATTAGTGATGTAAAGGTATATACTTAATCTAATTCTATTTTATAAATTGAAATATACCGTACCGTTAGTGCTTCTCAATACTCTGTTGACTGCCTTTTGCCAACCACTAGAACGAACTTTAATTTTAATTACACAAACCTGCATCAAAAAATCAAATAAAGTTTACATCAATCACATGCAATATTTTTTTTACATGAAACATATAGTATCTATATTCCATGGATTCTTAATAGCGCATTTCTCGATTGTATGATAATTTGAACTATGTTTGATATGTTGAGTAGACTTTGAGAAAGACAATACATAATGTCTTATTCTCTTTGTGAAAATCCGAGTAATTCATGAGATATTTGAGATAACTATTGAATACTCGGTGAAAGAAATTTACCATGAAAGCAAGATTGGATTCATTGGGACGTGGAAATGGATCTGATGCAAAGCAATCACTTAAAAATCGAATGATGAATTTTAATGGCTTCATTGATCTTCTACTTCTTCTGATAATGTTTTGTTAATTCTAAGAGATTAATTAGCATAGTATTATTAGTATTACAATCTTATTTTAAGACAAGATTGAATGAAAAAGGAAATAATTGATTCTCTCTTTTAAAATTAATTATTTTGTGTATCCTACAAAATTCTTCTAAGACATATTTCCATTTATACATCCCTTCAAATCTCTTTTCAATCTTCTTATTTGGAAATAGAGAAATAGATATCTTCTTCTTTTTAATTCTTAAATGCTTTAGTTAATTTGGGATTAGAGGCTCACAAAATTAAAATAATTTTAAGGTAAGACGTGCGTATTACTAATCATAGTATATATTCACTCTAATTTTTTTAACATACTTCGATTTGTGTAAACACCAAAACACTCAATTGTCCCGATTTTTTTAATCGAGGAACAAGAATACCGCTAGTGTATATTAACGGGGTACTCTTTCAACATCGTAAGCCTAAGAAACAATTCACCATGAAAATGGATTTGAACCTTCAAGGAGATAATTATAGTCCCTAGCAAAATTGTTTTGTATTAATAAAAGAGACACAGCAAGAATCATCACTCTTAAAGCAGGATAAAAGTGTTAAGTCGATTACAATTTACAAAACTTGATAATCATGCCAAAAGGTTGAAAACCACATTTTGTTGCATTTCTTCACTATCTAACCGGAGCCATGTCGACGATTTTTAAGGGACTGGCAGAAGAATGAAAAGGATTCCTTGAGCTCATTTGGTAGAGGTAGTGATAAAGGAGCAAGCACACCAAATTGCTGCCTACTTTTGACATTCATGTGAGATGTAAGAGCTAATGCAGGTTGCTGCTTGTTAAGACCTTCGATGATGAACGAAAATGCCCCAAAGGTGAGACAACTCTGTAATAGAGCCTGAGGTGCACCTGAGAAACATCATTAACAAATAGAGATTTATTAGAACTCTAGTTTACAATAAGGGATCGCAAATACTCTAGTGAAATCAATTGTAGATCCATTGGATGAGGAGAGGAAAATGACTAGACAAGTTAAATGGGAATGAGGTTAAGAAATTCGAATATAGAAACCTTACAATGAGCAGCACTTCATGAACTTGTATATAATTTAACAAGTAAGAACTCAAAGAAAACAAAGAAAGATGCTTCTATAAATCAAATAAGGAGAATTTAATTTCATAACTGAAACTTATGTGCACTTCACGACAACGTTGAAATACATGAATATCACCCAATCTAGCTATTTGCATTTTTTGAGCTTAATCATGGGTATGATAATGATATGCTGGAATAAATTTACATATTGAAAGACACAGTTGTACAATGTACCCCCCCCCCCCCCCCCCCTCTCCTGCTCATCTTTACTTTTTCACATTCTTGCCTTCATAATCTCTCAATCCGAACACATTTTTCCAATTCATTATGGGGGTGAGCCTGGTGATATCTTTATATCTCTCAGATTCCCACCTTATTTAACCAGAACCCGGAGCTATTATTTGCAGCCCTAAAAGTTCTCCACTTATGCAGTAAGTATTGGTCTTTGTAGCTCTAGATGCCAAGTTAAGCACAACTTCTCCATGACATACCCCATTCACCATTGTCCCCCCTAACCACCACACAACCTACCTGAAAACATCCTTAAATTTGTCATGTCAGTCACACATGCTACTTTCTCCAAGCCAATTTAGCTGTTGCCGCTAAGAAGGACCATAGGTTTGGGATTGATAATGGTAGTTAGAGAAGACACTAGGCTAACAACAATAATCGAAGAAGTTTACACCTTTTGCACTATTATCAAATGAATCCAATTAGACTTCATGGCTTTATTCAGGTTTAGGAGCACTGAAGCACAGCAAGCATGTATAACCATGATAGTATTTGTTTCTATCTGCACTTGTTTGGGACCTCTAATCATTTGAATCTACAGCTAGAATGGCAATTAAGAACACTTCGAGTAATTGAGAATTAAAAAAGAAGAAGGTATAGCCCTCATAATTATGGTATAAAGTTGGAAATGTTTTAAGTACCTGGAAAACTTAGGGCAAGACCAGTGCAACATCCAGCTACTCCAGCATTGATAACTGTAGAAAGAAGAGAAAGTCAATGGAAATAAAAGGTGTTTCAACATCTGGCTGTTCAAAGTGTGTGTCATACCATCATCTTTTCCCCGTAATCTCTTCAAGAAGCAAACAACTAAACTATGAACTCCAGATAAAACTGCAAAAGTCTAGACCACAGAAAGGAAAAATGAACCAAGTCACAATTTGACAGATCAAAAGAGGGAAGTAGTAACAGTGGTTATACTGTAGTTTGCCAAAAATATCATTAAGGCATTGAGCAAAGATTGAAATACCTTTGCCGAAGCTCCTGCTTCCCCAAAGGATCCTTTAAAGCCTTTTTTCTTTATCAATCCTGAGCCTGAAACAGAACGTTGAGCAAAATTGAGTACATCACCAACTTATAAGGTTTCCCTTGCACTCAAAGAATTTCATTTATGATCCCCAGAAGCTATTTAATCTTATAGAAGCAAAGTATTGAAAGAAGGGCTCTCCGAAATGCATGGTCGACAGTAGCAACAGAAGGATGTTATTTGTTAAAAGAAATCTACATAAACCTAATTCTTAGTAAATATGGATTACACAAACAAACAGAAGAAATAACAAACAACTTCAAAATATAGGGTGGTTGACGCTCATTACACTTGGAGAAACTAGAGGTTACCATAAAAGGAAAAAGCATAAGACAGATTTTGTAGTCAGTTATCAAATAAAGTAAAGGATGAAGAAGATACAAGAAATCAGTAGTCGAATTCAGAGCAGCCTTCACCTGTCACACTTATAATGTACTAAAATACACAACTATAGTCCATGTACGCCCTCCAACAATCATACAAGAGTGAGAAACAGACCATCGCAATAGAGCCAAATACAATAATTTGCAAAAGCACAGATTCCGTCTCACGAGAGACTGCGAGACTCCAACAAACAAAATGCTGAAGGTGAACATAAAGACTGCTATATCAGGTTAGCTGCCAGGTTGATACACAATTCTACAATAAATATCTAAAACTGGTACCGATATAGATTGTCAAATGTATAAAACAACAAAACATAAGCTTCATATAACTCCGAGGAGAACACAGTCCCGAAAATAACAATCAGAAGTAACTCATTTCAACTATTTCACAAAAAATCCAGCTGAACTAACAAACTAACCAAATTGCACCTATTAACGAGTCGATAATAAACAGATTGACGGAGGAAAATGCATAAAACAATAAAAAAGATAAAATAGGTTTCAGATAACTCCGTAGAGAACACAGTCCCGAAAATAATAATCAGAAGTAACTCATTTCAGCTATTTCACAAAAATCCAGTTGAACTAACAAAATTCCAGCTATTAACTCGCCGATAATAGACAGATTAACGGAGATAATTGCATAAACAATTACCGTATCCAAAAATGGAGCCCATGAAGGCTCCAGCAGCAGAGTCACCGGCGAATCTAAGGAGGCAGACAACAGGACTAGACGGAATCGCTGTGGTTAACGCATCAGAGGTGAATTGAGGATTCTGGCCGGGTGACGGGTTCGCCACCGGACTTGTTTCAACGTCGGAATCGGATTCAGAGTTCGGTGAGGTCGCCGGCGTCGCCATTCTCAATTTCCAAATGCTAAACCCTAAGTTTTGTCAATCTAAAAGTTCTAAGATACTTTTGCGGATTTCATTTTGGATAATACCCAAATTGTTCTGTTAAACAGTGTCACTCCTAGAAACGACACCGTTTATTTTCTATACTTAGGTCCAACTCTATGTAAAATGTGTATTACTTTGAGTATATATCAATTTACGTGACACTTTTTTTTCGTCAGTTTTAAAAATAATATCTTTCTTAAGCTTAGTATTCATGATATTTAACTCCAAATTTCTCAAAAACATATTAACTATGAGCAAGTGTCAATTCGTATTTCATACTCAAGGTTGAAGAAATATGTTGAAAATTATGAGGTCTCGTGTTTAACCCCAATGCAAGTTAAAACATTAGGAGATTTCTTCACACATGTTTATAGTACGAACTTATTATTAATACATTAATGAACAAAGTTACTCGATATTTGTGTCAGAAATTCATTGCTTATATTATTGCGAGACAAAATGGACATCAAAAATTTCACGCAACTTTTATCTTGTTGCAGTTAATTTACACTTGAAGCTATTTTTATAACAGAAAAGTCACTCAAAGTTACTACGTATCAAAAGTCACTCAATTTTGCTCAAGTATCAAAGAAAAAGTTTCAATTTAGTTCCAGCTTCTAGCTAGCTCAATCAGTGAGCTGGAGTTCCATTCTTTCAATCTTTCCACCAGCGCTAAGTAAATCGCTCTTCGGATTGAGGTCCAATTCATCTCGTAGGCTTATTATAGAAAGTATACTTGCATAAAGTTGAATGACTTTTTACGATACTTAGGTACACATTAGGAAAAATCAATCATTATTATTAACAAGCTGAAGAAACAGCTCACAACAAACGTCAAATCTGGTCAATCAAGTCTCAAAAGAATGATGAAATCAATAAGAATACAACCAATTCATCCCTAAATAAACACTAAGGTGTGATCAAGATTAGAAAGTTTCGTCAGCAAAGTCCCGAGCAGGGTCTTTGCGTGTTTCCATAGTTCAATCAAATATGTCTCATATGTGTTCTTGATAAATGGCACCAAATTCTGCTCTCCATGATTGATCATCATCGTACTCAGAATGTTGGATGGTGTTGTTGTTGTCATTGTTTGCTACATCAGAGTCTTGCCTGTAAATTGGCGGTCTCAACGCTGCTTCTGGCAATCGGCTCTCAGCAAGATACTGTTTCATTGTTATCATCTCCATCTTATGTTTTCTCTTCAACTTCTCTATTTGTTTCTTCAATCTCTCATTCTCTTCCTTTGATTGTGTAAAGTTCTCCTGTAAAAAAAGTAAAGAAATGTTTGATCAAAACAA